CCCCCCCCCACCGACGTTGTAAAGCTCGTTTTGGACATGACAACTTGTACTTCTCATTGTTGCATTACACACATTTTCTTGTAGCAGGTGTGTGTGTGTGTGTGTGTGTGTGTATGCACATGTGCTGGTACTGGGGCTTTAACTCAGGGCCTCATATTCTCCTTTAGCTACTTTTTCTCAAGGAAGTCACTTTACCACTTGAAACACATCTCCACTTCTAAAGTTTTTGCTGGTTAATTGGAGAAGTATTTCATGGGCTACACTGCCCAGTCTGGCATCAAACTTTAATCCCCATATCTTAGCCTCCTGAGTAGCTAGACTTTAGGCATGAGCTACCAGTACCTGGCCAGAGATAATTTTTAAAATAATTAACAGGATCTGGGTGCTGGTGTCTCACACCTGTAATCCCTAACTACTCAGGAGGCTGAGATCTGAGGATCATGGTTCAAAGCCAGCCCAGGCAGGAAAGGCCTTGAGACTTATCTCCAATAAACCACCAGAAAACCAGAAGTGGCGCTGTGGCTCAAGTGGTAGAGCACTAGCCTTGAGCTGAAACGCTGAGGGATAGCACCCAGGCCCAGAGTTCAAACTCCATGTCTGACACACACACACACACACACACACACACACACAAATTAACAGGAATGGCTACTATAGTTACCAGATACTTTCTGTATGTAAGTCTGAAAATGGCATCAACTCTAGCCTATCAGTTCCAAACCTGCCACAACAATATAAAGTCAGTGGTGAGGAAGATTCGTATATCATTTTCAGCTTCTTGGACAGCTATGACCATAACCTTAGTAATGAGTAGGTAAAGATTATATAGAGGGTGAAAGAATGGAGAAATACCATGATAGAGAAGATGAAGAAGGGCAACAAAGGAATGAAGAGTTGGAAAGCAGAGAACAGAGAGGGAAGAAAGGGAAAGGACGAGGCTCTGGGACATTACTGGCTCCTGGGAGTTCACACAAGATACCTTTCTCAGTAATGAATCCCGATTTTGACTTTCCTAGGTTGGTTTGGGTCCAAGTATGTTCTTGGGTCACAACGACAGTTGCTCAGGTCTGCTTGGTGGAAGAGAGAGGGGCCAAATTTTCAAGCTATAGCCTCCCCCACCCCCCAGTTTATATTCCCGTCGTTTGGAAGTACTCCCAACCCAGTCTCAGTTTACCTACAACCGAATCCTCCGCCTGTTCCCTCCTTCCAGTCCAGCCCTCCACTCCCAAGGACCCTGTCCTTCAGGCTGGCCAGTCTTAAAACGTCACAGCAAAATTCCCACCTGTATTTGCCCAGCGGGGCATAACCTTGCTGTGACTTCTGACTTGTCTCAGCAAACCTGGGCTCAAGCCCCGCCTGCTTTCTCGGGTACCCAAAGCTGCTGTGAGTCCTCTGTCACCAACAGCTTTATGTCCCAAGTACTGTGTAGCATTTGTTTGTGGTTGCCTGGGAACAAGAAAGGTGGGTGGGGCCCGCACGCGTGCTCAACAGATCAATCAAATTTCCCACGTCAGACTCCAGTCCCCGCCCTTGACTTCCAGCCGTGCCGGAAGCCGGAAGTCCCGCTTAGCGGCCTGGACTTGTTCTCGCGATATTTACCAAAAGCCCGGCCTGCACTGCGATATTTCCCGCGCGGGGTACCTCAGTTCTCCTACGCCGCGCCGCCGCGGCCGCCGCCATGGGGTTCCTGAAACTGATTGAGATCGAGAACTTTAAGTCGTACAAGGGTCGACAGATTATCGGACCATTTCAGAGGTTCACCGCCATCATTGGACCCAATGGCTCTGGTGAGATTAACCCGGTTGCGGCTCTGCGCACGTCCCGGTCGGGAAACCCCTCCCTCCCCCTTGTACGGCCCCAAAGTAGTACAACCCATTCCCTGCCACCTGAAGCCACTTGAAAGCTAAAAAGGTTTCTTGCCCCTACTTAGAGAGTTGGCCCTCGTACTCACTGGCCTAAAACATGTTCCCTGGATTGCCCGTGTTTTGTGCGGCACCCTCTGTGGCGGGAGTGATGGGGCAAAACTGTAAAATTGCCTCGCCCACTGGCCCCTCCCGCCAAACGAGGCGCGTCTGGGGCCAACTGGTGACTGCTTTCAGGACGGCTCCCTGCCCGTCTGGCTAGTTTAGGTTTCCCAGGCTTAGTTGAACCCAACGGAAACTTTGGGACTGCGGATAATTTATCCATGCCCTCTCGTCCCTAACGGCATACTTATTTCAACCCAGAGTCCCCTCCCACTAATTTTAGATTGGTATGTTCCAATGCCATGTAAAAGCTCCTTGGGTGGCGGCATTTTTGAATTTCGAACCTGGCGCTCCAGTCTTTAGAATGCAAAGGGTTCTGATCCCCTACTCAGACATTTTTGCTTGAACTTGCCCCTTTGCTACCGCCGAAATCGTCAGAAGTCTGAAAGTCTTTCGCTTATTGTTCGTTGATTGCTTTAATGTTTATTAAGAGTTGTTCATGTTGTGCAATTTGTGGAGCATAGAATACACCGAGCCCATGCACTTAGAAAACGTATATTGAGAAAAGTAGAAAATAAGTTAATTTTAGGCCATTATAAGTGCTGTGCAGGAAAAGGGTCAAATTGAAATTATAGAGTTACTTACGTGGTGTCCTTTGGATGAGTGGTCCGTTAAGACCTCTATTTCCTGTCTTTTTTTCTTTCTCTTTTCTCTTCTCTATCTCTCTCTTTTGTCGGTCATAGGCTTGAATTCTGGGCCTGGGCACTGTCCCTCAGCTCTTCAGTCTCACGGACTTTCCTGCCCTGGTTGGCTTTGTACTGTGATCCTTATGTCTCAGCCTCCTGCATAGCCAGGATTACAGGCATGTGCTACCGGCCGGGCTTCTATTTCCTATCTTAATTTCTCATCTCTAAATGGATTACTCTCACCTATCCCCAGAAGTGGTTTAATGGGAATCCTGCTCAGTTCCTTCACTCCAGAAATATTCTAGCTGAATCATTAGCCTGAGAGGCTGCCCTTGCTGTGAAGGTCCCCTGGGGTCTTCCGGTGTTTGGCTTTCTGCTTAGAGCAGGAATTCTCAACCTTGGCACCGCAGTCTCAATTTGCTATGAGGTTTGTCTTGTGTATTGTAGTGTGCTTTGGCAGCACTCTTGACTTCTACCCACTAGATGGCAATACCCTCACTCCTCAGGTATGACCATCAAAAATGTCTCCATACATTGTCATTTGTCTTGAGGGGAACGTAATCACCCTCCCTTTCCACCTCTTAAGAATCACAGGCCTAGAGGGTTACTGTTTTTAGATCTACCAATTTCTTATGCTTTTGGTGTTGTACCTGTAATAGAAAAAGGAGGGATGTACCTCTTGGCATTCAGAGTCCCCTCTGTATTGGTATATTTTTCTATCTAACTGTTGTAAAAAGCTCCTTAACACTCCCGTCATTCCCTGTTCTTCAAGGCTACCTCTCTTGATTCTCCTCTAGGAATTATATTCATGGTTTTTGTTTTTGTATCTTCATTACTGGTTTGTGTGGTCCTTAAAGAAGACATTCCTGAAAATGTTTTATCCATGTACAATTCAGACTATATATTACAAAAATGTTGACAGTAAGCCAGGCGCTGGTGGCTCACGCCTGTAATCCTAGCTACTCAGGACGCTGAGATCTGAGGATCGCAGTTCAAAGCCAGCCGGGGCAGGAGAGACCTTGAGACTCCTATCTCCAATAAACCACCAGAAAACCAGAAGTGGCGCTGTAGCTCAAGTGGTAGAGCGCTGGCCTTGAGCTGAAGAGCTGAGGGACAGTGCCCAGGCCCAGAGTTCAAGCCCCACGGCCGACAAAAAAAAATGTTGACAGTATTGTATAATTGTGAGTAAAGAAGCTTTTGATTGTGAGATGTTCTTGTCATCCTTGAGTATCATGGGAGAGCACAAAGATTGGAAATTGGTACTTTAAAAGTGGACTCCGGTTTTGACTAGGGTTGTGTTCAGTGCCTGGGCACTGTCCCTGAGCTTATGTGCTCAAGGCTAGCACTCTACCACTTGAGGTGCCACTCCACTTCCACTTCTTGGTGATTAACTGGAGATCAGTCTCATGGATTTTCTTGCCCCACTGGCTTCAAACCACAATCTTCAGATCTCAGCCTACTAAGTAGGTAGGATTATAAGAATGAGCCCCCAGTGCCTAGCATAAATCAAATTTTAATGGTGGGACTGGGTACAGGTGATTCACACCTCTAATCCTAGCTACTCAAGAGACTGAGATCTGAGGATCCTGGTTCAAAGCCAGCCTGGACAAGAAAGTCTGTGAAACTCTTATCTTCAATTAATTACCAGAAAACAAGAAGTACTGCTGTGTCTCAGAGTGGTAGAGTGCTAGCTTTGAGTGAAAAAGCTCAGGGACAGTGCGTGGGCCCTGAATTTAAGCCCCACAACCATCACCAAAAAAAGAGGCTGACATCCGAGGACCTTGTTTTAAAGTCAGCCCAAGCAGGAAAGTTCATAAAACTCTATTTCCAAAATAACCCCCAAGAATGCACTACTAGAAGTTTGGCTCAAGTGGTAGAGCACCAGAATGGAAGTGTGAGGCCCTTAGTTCAAGATATGTTATTGGTACAAAAAATTAATGGTGGATATCCATATTTATTTATTTATTTATTTGGGTCCAGTCGTGGGGCCTGAACTCTGGGCTTGGGTGCTGTCCCTCAGCTCTTCAGCTCCAGGCTTAGCGCTCTACCATTTGAGCCACAGTGCCACTTTCGGCTTTTTTCTTTTTGCTTATGTGGTGCTGAGGAATTGAACCCAGGGCCTTAGGCATGCAAGGCAAGCGCTCTACCACTGAGCCATCTTCCCAGCCCCTGGATATCCATATTTAATATGCATATTAACAGTTTTTAAGTTTCATGTTGACCCAATGTGAAGTATTGTCTATTTTATGCTTTAAGTAAAAAGAAGATTTGCAGGGTGCTGGTGGCTCAACACCTGTAATCCTAGTTACTCAGGAGGCTGAGATGTGAGGATCGCAGTTCAAATCCAGCCCAGGCAGGAAAAATTTTGAGACCCTTATCTCCAGTTTACCACCAGAAAGCCAGAAGTTGTGCTATGGCTCAAAGTGATAGAGTGCTAGCCTTCAGTAAAAAAGCTTATGGACAGTGCCCAGGATCTGAGTTCAAGTCCCACAACTGAAAAAAATAAATAAAAGAACGGAAGATTTGTATTCTGTTGTTACTCTGTTATGTATTGTTACATGTACTTTTTCTTTTAGAAAGGATTAATTCTAATTATTCACACCAGAAAAGAATCTGTAGACTTAATGACATTTCACTCGTAAGTACTTTAGTATTCATTTCCTATAATCATCTTTCTCCTGTATTACTATTGTTATCACTAAGAAAATTAATTTCTTGATGTCATTAATTATCCAGTTTTTATTTAAGCTTCCTTGATTGCTTCTCAGAAAGTTTTTTGATATTTTGTGGAGCTAGAGTCCAGTCAGAATTCATGCTCTGAAATTGGGGGTGGTATTGCACACCTGTAATATAATCCCAGTACTTGGAAAGCAAGGCAGGAGGATTGTGAGTTCCAGACTAGCCTGGGCTAAATAATGAGATCCTATCTCACAAACAAGAAAAAATAAAGGAAGGAAAAAAGTATTCACCTTAAAAAAGTGATCTAGAATGGCTTTTTTAAATCCTTTTAGACTTTGCTATTTTTATTTTTTGCAGTGTTGGGGACAAACCTGGGGCCTTTTGTCTGCTAGACAAGTGTTCTATTAGCCAAGTCCATACATTGAGGTTTTTGTGCTGGTATGGGATTTGAACTCAAGACCAATTACTGGGCTTTTTTGCTTACGGCTGGCACTCTATCACTGGAATCCATACTTTCAGTTCCTGCTTTTTGCTGCCTAATTGAAGATAAGAGTCTTAGATTTAGCCGGGCACCCATGGCTCATACCTGTAATCCTAGCTACTCAGGAGGCTGAGATCTGAGGAGCATGGTTCAAAGCCAGCCCGGGCAGGAAAAGTCTGTGAGACTCTTATCTCCAATAAACCACTAGAAAACTGGAAGTGGCACTGTGGCTCAGGTGGTAGTAGAGTGCTCACCTTGAGCTGAAGAACGCAAGGATAGCGCCCAAGCCCAGAGTTGAAGCCCCACAACTGACAAAAAAAAAAAAAAAGTCTTAGATTTGTCTACTCAGAATGCCTTTGGACTAAGTTTTTCAGATCTCAGCCTCCTGAGTGGATTATATGCATGAGCCACTGATGCTACATTGAATTTTGGAAAAAGGACCAGGCCATTTGTCTTGTAAACATAACCTCCTCATCCTGAGGTTTTCTTATAGTATAGTTTACCTGGTTCCTTTATCTGCATTTGTCCATGCTATTAAAGGTTGTAGAACAGCCTATTTTACTGTTTCCGTAGATGTTCTAGTTTCTGGCTGCTATAGATAGTAAATTCAAGGAGACTTTTTTTTTTTTTTTGGATCTGGTCGTGGGCCTGAACTCTGGGCCTGGGTGCTGTCCCTCAGCTCTTCAGCTCAAGGCTAGCGCTCTACCACTTGAGCCACAGCACCACTTCTGGTTTTCTGGTGGTTTATTGGAGATAGGAGTCTCACGGTCTCTCTTGCCTGGGCTGGCTTTGAACCGCGATCCTCAGATCTCAGCCTCCTGAGTAGCTAGGATTACAGGCGTGAGCCACCAGCGCCCGGCTTCTCCTTTCCTTCTGGAGACAGTTTCAGGAGGGTCTTAAACTTCATTCTGTCTTAACCTCCTAAGTGCTGGGATTACAAGTGTATACCACTCTAAGACTCAGATTTTCAGAGCGTAGAGAAATATTCTCTCTTCCCAATAGTCTGAGCACTAAATGACTAGAAGACATAACTGTTCTCAGTATCTCCTTTATTGCATTTCTTCTTCCTGACTTGCCTTCCTCTCTTTTGGTCCCTCCTCTCTTAGGTAAGTCAAATCTCATGGATGCCATCAGCTTTGTACTAGGTGAAAAAACCAGCAACCTTCGAGTAAAGACCCTACGGGATCTGATTCATGGTGCTCCTGTGGGCAAGCCAGCTGCCAATCGGGCCTTTGTCAGCATGGTCTATTCTGAGGAAGGTGCTGAAGATCGCACCTTTGCCCGTGTCATTGTAGGTGAGTAAGGCTGGTCAGAAGGCTTTCCTTGAGTCCTAGGAGGTGGTTAAACTACTTGATGGAATAGGAGGGAAAAACGGATCCCTGTCTTATAGGAGGTTCTTCTGAATACAAGATCAACAACAAAGTGGTCCAACTACATGAATACAGTGAAGAGTTAGAGAAGTTGGGCATTCTCATCAAAGCTCGTAACTTCCTCGTCTTCCAGGTGGGCATTTTAAACTGTTATTGGGTGTCTGCTTTTTTTTAAGCCCTTGTACCATCACCTCTAGGTTCTCTTATTCTGGACTAACATCTCACCTTTTTTTTTTTTTTTTGGCAGTTGTGAGGCTTGAACTAAGGGCCTGGGCATTGTCCCTGAGCTCTTATGCTCAAGGCTAGCATTCTGCCACTTTGAGCCACAGCACTACTTCTGGTTTTTGAGTAGTTAATTGGAGATAAGACTCTCAGCTGAGTAGCTAGGACTTTTTTTTTTGGGTCCGGTCGTGGGGCCTGAACTCTGGGCCTGGGTGCTGTCCCTCAGCTCTTCAGCTCAAGGCTAGCGCTTTACCACTTGAGCCACGGCACCACTTCTGGCTTTTTCTGTTTATGTGGTGCTGAGGATTAGACCTAGGACCTCATGCATGCCAGGCAAGCGCTCTACTACTGTGCCACCTTCCCAGCCTTGAGTAGCTAGGATTATAGGCGTGAGCCACAGGTGCCCAACTCACCTTTTTTGATGGAATGCCTAATTCTAATCTGACCCCTTCTAATTTAATCCATGGGCTAAGGCTAGTTTTACAAGAACACTGTTTCTCTCC